TCCATTACATAGTATCCTTCCCTCAACTTCACCTCCTTCAACTCCACCTCAAAGTACCTTGCAAATTTCTCCCAGCACACCTTCAATTAATCCATGGAGTAACAATATTAGTTTGATTGATTGCAATGCCAAGGTATTAATAAATTTCCGTAACATTCCATTAGCTACTTAAATCACATTACATTATATGTGACAGACGATGTTTTAATTATTAACTAATCATATATAATAAATAACCAATGTAACAAGTCGATTACACATGTCACATATTGTGATTTGCTAATGTAATGATATAGTTTAAAAAAAGAGTGTACCTACCATCAATCATTGTTGAATTTTATTTTTATTTATTTATTAAAATTGATGAAATAAATATGATGACCATATATAAATACCTGGACATTGGCTCCGGTGACAATGTTGGGGTTGTCAATGGGCTTGCCCTGAGCTCTCCTCTTGTTCTGCCACTTCCTCTTGAAAGCTAAGCCGGCCAACATGATGGCTTCAGAAGAGCCCACAGTTCCCACTCCAACAGCTGACTCTGAATCCTCCAATGGGGCATTGAATAGATGAGCTATGATGTTTACGCATTCAATTAACATGACGAAAAGGCTATAATGAGGACTTAAAGTGAGGAGGTACATGATGATTGATGACAGGCCTGGGTATCATCAATTGGAATTTACATAAGCTTTTTCCAATCAGAGGGACTGTTACAAAAATGACAGCCTAGAAGTTGGAAGATACAATTAGAGGGACTGTTATTTTAGACTATATATATTAATTTGTCGAATTATGTATCACTCACTACATCAATTATTATGTTAGACACATCTTTCAACTAGTCAAATTAGGCTCATTTAACTTTGACATTTGAAATCATCCTTTCTGTCCCTTCTTGTCCATTTGAGAGAGAGAGAGAGAGAGAGAAAACAATAATCAAGCCAATTTATTCCACGCATCAACGCTAATTGTTTCAACCTTTCAACTCATTCGTACGCTAATTGTTTCAACCTTCCAACTCATTCGTACGCTAATTGTTTCAACCTTCCAACTCATTCGTACCATCCTTTTTTCTCTGTTTTTTAAATTTTTTTTGGGTATTATTTTGTTTCTTTGAATTTGTCATCTCTTTCAATTTGAAAAGAGAAGTATTTTTTGTTTAATGTGACTAAGAAATATTTTTTGTTTTTATGGACGGACCAATAACTAGTTAATGATGCTTTATCATATTACTAAAGTTTAACTAACTTTAGAAACAAAAAGCTAGTTGACGATGCTTTAGCATTAAAAAAAACATTATCTTAGTCATTTTAGAAACAATAAGTCAAATCCTAGGAAAATAATTGAGTTTCCCCGAGTTTACTTTTTTCTCTAATTTTGCAACTGAAAAGTATTATTTCTGCTAATAACCCACTAATGTAGTGATTTAAAATAATTACTTCCTCAAGCAAGATTTTGGATTTGAATCCTAACAACCGTGTAGTTCTATTATCAGTTTTCAATTACTTTATTGGTTCGAAAACAAACAAAAATCAAATGTTCCATAGAACGCTTGGCGCGACACTGCATGATATGTTGTGGGCTCTTATTTGATGTCAAAATCCATGAGTCTATCCACGAGGGAATATTAGGTAGAGGTAAAATACATACTTTGCCCTGTGGCCAGTACAATAATTGGGAACAATAGTAATAGTATGGCTCAATCATTTCAGGTGAAATTGCGATTTTTATTTTTGGTCACAAATTGCAAGTTTTTTTCCCTCCACTTTTAAAAATAAGAGCTAGTTGAAGACTACAGGCAATACAAAAGGCAATTGACTGGAAGTGCAATACAAAAGTCTGTTTAAGAGTGATTTTGGAGTTGTCACCACAGCCAATCATTTATTCGCACGTGGAGGTTGGCTCAGGACCGTCCCTGAGATTTTAAGGGCCTTGTGCGAAATTTAAATTGGAGCCTTACATAATCTTATACGAAAATACTATAAATAAAAATTTATCATAACTTAATGTCATAAATAATTTTTTTATAAGTAAAAGTCACCATCAATAAACATGCAATGACAATAAGAAATCTAATTCATAAAAAATTAAATGTTTTCATTTGATAAAGTTAAATATTAGTATGTTTGGTACAAAAATAAGCTCCTTGTGCCCCTATAAGCACAACACAACCCTTCTATGATGTCTGATTTGCATCATGGAAGACATTTAATGACGTGGATCAGTCAGGCATCGTAACCCGCGTCATCGAAAGGGAGGGTCATGGAAACTTTTTCAAAACATGACGTCTATTCCGTGTCATGGAATGAGGTTTCAATGAGTCGTGGAAACTTTTTTCAAAACACGACGTCTGTTTCGCGTCATGGAATGAGGTTTCAATGACGCAAATAGCATGTCGTGGAAACTTTTTCAAAACATGACATCTTTTCCATGTCATGGAATGAGGTTTCAATGACGCGTACTAGACGCCATTGAACTTAACGACGCTGATGACATAGTTTATTTTTCATGACACAGTTTAGACGTCATTGAAATTCTTTATTTTTTTTAAATAAAAATTCTTAATATATATATATATATCCTACATTTTAATTATGCAAAAAGAAATTAATATATAAAAGCAAAAATGAAGACACAAAGGCAAAGTACTCTAAATTATATTTCTATTATTCAAAATGATTCTAGTACATTAAAATTTTCTTTAACTAATCCCACAAAGTCAATCCTATGAAGTTTGAGAAGATTTGATACTTGCACTGTCCAAAACAAAGTAAACATCCAAAAAAATGATCTCCATGATAGTTTGAGAGGATATGAGGCTTCATGTCCAAAAGTGGATGTAAACGGTACTCAAATAATTACAATCACACCTGCATTAAAACACAAGATCAGAAAATGAGACTAAAGGTCTAGAAATTACAAGAGCAAGTATGTGCTCTGAATTTTCTATAAACAGGGAAATGCATCTTAGGTTGTGTTTAATATTAAGTGCGAAATCAAATTGTTATTTTTGTACGAATATGCTAAAAGATTGGCTTGAACAGCTATGAATCCCATCAAAATTTAATCTTTATAAACCACCAATTAAATTGCGATTTGTCTTCCTAAAGTAAGTTAGGATATACTGTTAGGAAGGCATAATATAGTTAATATAAAGATTTATTCAGCAGAAGATCCAGTGGCAGCTTCATTGCTCCAAGACAAAGTTTCTCAAGTCCAAGTGATTCCCTTCCTAGTAGCAAGTGAAACAGAAACATTTAACAGGAACATTGCCTTTTGATCTAATCCTTTTAACCTTTTCTCTCACCTTGGACTCTTCCATTTGTGCCCTTGCTCCTCCTGCTATCTGGTCAATTCGTGCTTGCTTGATTTGGTAATGTTGCATGTTTCTTGCTCTTCGCTGCTGCAATTCACTCTGCAATTTCAACAACTCATTGAGAGGTGAGCTTCATCATTGGTGTTCACAAACTAAAATTAAAAAACAATGATTGTTAAACTGTACCTTTCTCTTCTGCATCTTAATTTTTGCTGGCATCTTCTTCTCATTTTCCAAAGCAAGAATTGCATATTTCACTTTCTCATACCTGAAAATTATAATTTACCATTTCAAAAGGAAGAAATTAAAGAGTTCCTTAGAAATTTAAGCAACATTTAAGCAAGCTTTCAACAATGACTATTTTTATATATAAAGATTTTAATAACAGAATCACCCAAAAATTGGTTTTTACCGCCTCTGGATCTTCTTAATCTGAGCTTTCTCCCAAGCATCTACTTCAGTTTCCAGAGTATTATGTCCTCTGTTCTTTCAATTGTGTAGCAATCTTCGTTCCCACCTCCTTTCTTTTGTTGTTGAAGTAGTGGAAGCACTTCATTGCATAGAATCCTATAGCAACTCCCTGCTAATTGTTACATCAATCTTCCTTTGCCGCCATTGAATCAATTTCAGAAAATTGAAGCCTATTATTGATATGTCACATGCTTGTAAGGAAGTATCAGCGTCTTCATATAAACATAGTTAAAATTCTCAAATTGTTCAAAATGCTAAACGAAGAAACAATAGGTCACTACCAAGATAATCATACATAAAATGTTTACTTGACGAATAAGAATCATAGAGACAGAGAAGTGCCCAATGAAATGTGGTATAAGTACTTCATGACATGTAGAAGACGTCGTTAAATTCACAATGTTAACGACGTATGATAGGCGCCATCTAAATGTACTCAAATCAATGGTACACATCTCACATCATTGAAAATGATTTTAATGACACGTCAAGCAAATGTCGTGATAACGGTGTCATAAACTCACATCAATGACGCATTTTAAAAACACGTAATAGTTTATCACATTTAAGGACGTGTATTTTCGAGGCGTCATTAAATTTGCGTCATAAAAAGACTTCTTTTTTGTAGTGAAGGTCTCTTGCTGCCTCCAATAGGCAATCTGTGTTTAATAGAAAAAAAAATTGGCAATCACAAATTAAGGAGTAGTTGCACACAAATGTCATTAAACAAATTAGATTATATCGCATTAAACACAAAAGCAAAAACAAAAACATACCTAACTATCCAAAAATCAATCACATTGTATTTGCTGTCTTTATTTAAAGAATACGAGAGCTTTTTCGTCAAAAGAAAAAAAAAACACCAGTACAATACTAATGTCTGAAAATTGATCTTCTCGAATTTTAAAAGAGAAATTATTAATCAAATGTTCATAATTGAGTTTTTCAAGAAGGATATATACTCTTGGTGGTTTGCTCCGATGTTCCCTTTTTTTTAAAGTGTTTCTGTTTTTATTTATAAATAATTATGTACAGCTTCTTGTTATAATGCCAAAAAAAGCAAATAGCTAACTTCAATAAGAATCGAACTTGGGCGCATCTGTTAAGTGGAAACATGTTGGAATGCCAACTTTTGTACAGTTATTTAGCACGCTATAGTATATATACGATTCTTACAAATATTATACATATAATATAAAGAAGGCCGCCCCGAGGTTGGCTGGCATGTCACTCCTCATTTCTATAATCTATTTATATCATCTCAGGTGAAATTGCGATTTTTATTTTTGGTCACAAATTGCAAGTTTTTTTTCCTCTACTTTTGGCCATCTCTCTGAGCACAAACTTCTGAATCTTCCCAATCGACGTCTTGGACAGCTCCTCCTTAAACACCACCGTTTTGGGCACCATGTAGTGCGGCAGCCTCCCCCTACAATACTCCATCATCTCCTTCTCCGTCGGCTTAGGGCTTATGTCACTTTTCATGCTCACAAACGCGCACGGCGTCTACCCCCAAAACTCGTCAGGCTTCGCCACCACCGCAGCTTCGTTCACCGCCGGGTGCGTATAGAGCCAAATCGGTATTGGTACTGTACCGTACCGTACCGTGCCCAATCGGTATTGGTACCATTTCGGTACCAAAATGATACAACTAAAAAATGAACCAATTCAATATTCAACACCAAAATAAGTGATGCCTAAGTTACAAATTCAAAGATTCAATATCCAAATCCTAATCAACATATTCAATATCCAAATCAACCAAATCAATATTTATCCATCAACAAATTCATCAAACCCAAATGGTTAAAACTCATGCCTTATGGCTTACAAACCAAAATAGTTAAAATTATGCCTCATGGCTTACAAAAATACAAACATAATCCAAACATAAATGATAAAAACATAAAGTTATACTATTCGGTACGGTACGGTATTGACCGGTACCAAAATCTTGATACCGCTACCATACCATACTCTATTGGTACGGTACGGTACGGTACCGAATATCTCCACATACTAAATGAAACGGTATGAAATCGGTATGGTACGGTGCGATTAGGGTACGATTTCGGTATTTCGATTTAAGATGCCCACCCCTAATTCCAATATGAAAAGCCAAAACCTTTTCATAAATGACAGAAACAACCCCTAATCCTAATTTAGCTATAATAAAACAAAACAATATATTACTTTAGGGTGTTGTTATTCCCACCCCATTTTCATATTTTCCCACCCACCTTATCTTCAAAATTTTAAAAACAAATTTACCCTATTGTAAAATGACTTTTAAGGACTTAATTAACTCTAAGTTAACACTGTTAAGTCAAGAAAATAAAAGTAAAAATAAAAACAGAAAATTAGAATAAATAAATAAAAGATCCCAGCAAACAACCCTCAGACTACCCACCCAACCACGTGACAACCAAACCAACCTCCCCTCCCCACCTCACCTCCAGCCACATCATCAATTGCCACCTAAACCAAATGAGTTGCTCTTGTAAGATTCCCAATTGCCCTCCTCTCTATTTTTCTTTTTTCATAAATCTAAATTAGCGAAAATAAATTTATTTTACTCTTTGTTTATTGTTGTCTGGGTGGGCCATAGATCCTCATACAATTGCAGCTTCTATTAAATGTTAGACTTTGCTGCGCTTATGACATTGATTGAAAAAATCCCAGTGTCGCTTTTATGACAACTTTTTGCATTTAAAAAAAAATTATTTTGGTTTCGGAAGGGTTGAATCCCTATAACCTCAAACTGAGCACGTCTAGGAAATAGTTAAGAAGGAAAGAATAACGATTGGAATGTTCTATCTCTCTCAAATTGGAAACTTGGAGGAATAAAGGGCCATAAAGTTGCTGATATTGATGAAGACTAGGATGAGCGACTTTGGCAGGCAATGCAGTCGAAGTGTCGTCTCAGATCTAGGCCAATTGATGTAATATTTCTCGTGGGTTTGTTTATTCGTGGGTTGATTGAAATGGAGAGAGGAGAAGAATGTTAGATTTGGGTTTGAAGGTGTTGTTCAAAACAACTGAAATAATGGTGAAAGAGACATGAGGAGGAGGACGGAGGAGGGGAGGCTTGGCCTGAGGTGGAAGGTATGGGTGGTTCTTGTTAAGGTTTGACGGAGTGTGCGGTGGCTGCTTTAAATTTTTTCGGACTCAATCAATAATGTTAAGTTAGGTTTAAAAATGTTATGTGAATGGAATGATATTTTAGGAATAATGGTAGGTGCAAAGATAGGATTGTGGTTTTTCAAATTTTCATGGTGGGTAGGAAGATAAGGTGGGTGAAGAAATAGGACAAGTGGGTGGAAATAGCAGCACTCTTACTTAAAAAACTGAAGTGAAAAAATCCGAAAGTATAGTAGCCAACTAGTTGAGGGTAAAAAGCCCGAAGGGTTTAGCCACATAGGTGTGCTTGGCCCGATATTTTGAAATCTTTGTCCGTCTTCAAAAAAGCCACTAAGCCCAATTGGCCGAATTCTAGTCCCGCTTGAGCCTAAAAATTTAAGATCAATGTTTTCCCGACCCAATGATGTACCATAACCATACGCATAACTCCGTCCGCGATGTAAAGGATCTTAAATGATTTTGGCGTTCAGGTGTTATTGGGTTTAATTTTGAGGGCATCTAAGTCTATTCTAGTAAGTTTTTTTTTTTTGGCTATATTTTAAATTTATTCTAAAAGTCAACATTTATGAAATTAAGGACTAAATTTTGGCTATAAACAATTAAAACTCTTGTTGTGGTTCGATTGACAATGATAATATGGTGGCTTTGCTTTGATTTTTTTTTTTCTTCTATTTATATTATATATAAGTTATAATATTTCGCAACCATTTAAAAGAAAATTGCACAAATACACTATGAAATATTAGGATTGTATATTTGCCACCAATAATTTTTTTGACAATTTGCTAGCCAAACTTCACGTTTGGTTCGCTTTCCTTTCCTAGCACACACGGAAATTAACTTCACAATCTCCTTATAGCAATTAGTTTTTCTTGCTATAAACCGGATTGTATTCATGTATATATTATTTCTTACCTTAAATAGATTTCCTGTATCAGTATAAATATGGACTTTGTATAATATGTTTCATACAAGGAAATATATTCTCTACAAAGTTAAGTTCAGTCTAAAAGTATTTGCTTATTTACTGTTTTAGAGTGATTAAGTGAGAGCGAGCTCGAGTTCTAAAAGGTGAAACAGTAAATAAGCCAAAAGTATATTCTTTTAAGGTTCCGTGGCATAAAAATTTCTAGACAACCTTCAAAATGACACACAAAGCCCTATGTAACGGACTTTTTTAAAATTACTCGAATTTGTTTGAATGGTTTATTCGGTTATTGTGCTTACCCTACGCCCCAGAGTGGATGTCTCTATCGAAGGGAAAGCGTCGGAATTAAATTACGGAAAAGTTGTGCAGGGAGACTTACAGGCGAAGGAAGCGATTGCCTGCCTCCCTTGCCCCCATTCATTTTCAGTTTCTTCTCTGATTCAATTTCAGTTTTTACAAGTTGAGAGAATTTCAAGCGAAAGCAGCAGAAGCAGCCGGTGGAGAAGGAATGGGGGTGCTCTCAAACAAGATCCAGAGGGATCAACTCAGACCTGGAGATCATATTTATTCCTGGAGGCGCGCCTACCTCTATGCCCATCACGGTTCTCTTCTCCTTGTCCCCTTGATTTTTTATTTTATTTTTATTTTTCATTATTATTATGTATTTCATGTTCGTGATTTTCTGATGTCGTTGTTTTGGATGCATTTTCAATTTTGTATATATCTTTGTTGTTCGGTCTTGTGGAAATGAATCTTGAGTACAACAGTAAGATTAGACCATTGCCAATAGACATACAATAGCATATGAGCATTGATTTATTGATCTTTTGTTCGTACGAATTGAACCAAAGAAATGTCACAGTGACTGTAGGTGACAATGGCTATCTGTTTGTATTTTAGCCATTGTCTCACTCAGGGCATGGAAAATATGTCGAATCGCAAATTGTTATGCCCCTAAATTTGTTCCCAAAATGTGTGGTTTGATTTTAAATAGATTCATAATATGATATTCACCACCTCCTCCCCCTCCACAAGAATAATCCTGGGGTTGGAGTATGAACCTATTGTTTGGATTGATAGGAATGACCTAGATGAATCGATTATCTCTGAAGAGGTTGTTTGTTGAAGTTAATAAGTTTTGTTTGAAGCAGGTACAAAAGGAGTGTTGAAATCTTAGTTCTTTACCTCTGCGTCTGTAATTTTTATGGGTGGAAACAGTTTAGCACAGTTTCTTTCCCTTGGCATCCATTATAATTTAGTTTTTCTTCTTTGTAGTTTTCACCTGTTTTCCTTAATTGTCTATGAGGAGAACCTTTGTGGTTTTGACATTTAAATGCTGCATTTAGGTCACCACGGCATTGCTGATAATTTATCTGCTATGTGATATCAGGGATATATGTCGGTGAGGGAAAGGTTATCCACTTCACTCGGGGAGCTGGCCAGGAAATTGGCACAGGAACTGTGTTAGACCGCATCATTTTCAGCTCCTCCCCATCCCATTCCCCGGACAATCCCTGCCCAAAATGCGGTGATCAATCAAGTCTTGATGGTGTCATGTCTTCTTGCATAGATTGTTTTCTATCTGGCGGTGATCTCTACCTCTTTGAATATGGTGTCAATGCTGCTTTCTTTATTGCCAAAGCTAGAGGGGGTACCTGTACGCTTGCCGCGTCTGACCCACGACAAGATGTCCTTCATCGTGCTTTTTATCTTCTCCAGAATGGTTTTGGTAGTTATGACATTTTCAAAAACAACTGTGAAGACTTTGCAATATATTGCAAAACAGGTTTGCTCGTGTACACTAGCATTAGTGTGGGCAGGAGTGGACAGGCTGCTTCCTTTTTAGCAGCTGCAAGTGCTGTTATTTCTTCACCACTTCGATTTTTGACTACTAGTTTTACTGGTCTGGGTGCTGTTGGTTGCGGCATGTATTGTGTTAGCCGATTGGTTTCTGATATCGGAATACGTCGTGATGTTATAAAAATTCCAGTGGAGAGACTTACTGCTCCGCTTGGCCTAGATGAGGCAGAGTTTGCGACTGAAGTGGTCAAGACAGATTAATTTGTGTGCATAAACCGAAGTTGTATGGCTTGAAGGGGTTTCTGTTGATTGTTGTATCATGCATGGAGTGTTTCCATGAACATTTTATGATTGCTTGTATTAAGGCGGACGTTGCCTTGATCAATGTGCCTGCTCTTCTTTTGAACCTTTTTTTTTTCCAGAAAACATATGCTCTTCGTTTTATAACCATAGATAATTTGTTCATTTGTTGGTTGGTTTATTTTACAAGGCAATTGCAAGTTGCAAGTCTTATGCACTTGATGTACTTTGTTCATTTACTTCATTTTTCCTTCACCGTGGCATTAAGACCATCATGAGCAGGCCGGTCAAGAAAGACCAATACTACAATTTTCAGGAGTTCAAGGAAGCCTTGCTCTTTAAATTCTCCCCCTGCTTCTCGGCTTATGTAGAAACAAGCACCATAGACATTTGTTCAATATCTATAGCTGTTGTTTAATCATATAATTACAACAAATACACGATGGGAAGAAATCCTGTTGTGTCACAAAAAAAGTCCATAATCAACATCCAAAATACCAAATGTCAATCCAACAATGAGATTTCCAGCTAGTACGGCCAAAAACCACCTCCACCTGGCTTTTTGACGAGAATCTGACTGTATTCCGGCCTCGATGTCTGCAGTTTACACATTCAAATGTTAAGATGCTGGTCACAAAAAAGTCAAGAGTTTTTCTATATATATTTTTTTAGGTCTTTTTACACAATAATAAAACTTAAGAGCTTAAGGATTAAGTATTGGGGTGAACAAAGAAAAGTGTGGGGTAAAAAATAGAAAAATTGAAAAATTAAACCATTTCAATTGAGATGGAATGAATAAAAAAGGGAAGAACATGAACAAAGTCACTGTCGTGTGCTGCATTAAGCTTCCGTCTTGGAAGGTTTAGAAACATCTATAACTCACAACATCAAGATACTTAAAATCAGATTGTTGGCCAAAAGAAAACAAAAGATACTAAAAGCAGGTTGAAACAGCAAAGAGGATCCTTAAAGTGGCCCTTCTTTATATCACAAATCATATAACCTCGTTGGTATGTAAGTGAAGGTTCAGAATATCAAATAGTTGTTTCATTTTCACCTGGTGCATTTGCTGGTTGTTTTTACCCTTTACTTTTTCAAGGGTTTCTCATACCAATTTTTGTTCTGGTCTCTAATTAATACAAGCTGGTAATCCAATAAGCATCAATTTCAATAAATTTCTATAGTAGCTTAATTATCAAGCATTGGGTGAAAATAAGCAAAATTACCTTCCATCCAATGATCCAATCAGGTTCTCAAAATATTTTTTGTTTGTTAATAAAGTTTAGCAGTGAATTTAAAGTGCCAGAAAAGGTCGTTAGGGTAAACAATCTTAGAATTAGCAAGAAAAAACTATCCACTCATAAAGGAATCAGATAAATTTACCTATTAATGACACAACAAAGGATTTGGTGATGTATTGAATTTCTATTAATTGTTTCGTTCCAAAATGTGGCGTTCTTATTTCAGCAGACAAAACCAGCCAAAAAGAACTCAGCAGACAGGAGCTAGGGATCAGGTCGTTATTAATTCAGAGAGAGGAACTTTGATTTTTCAGAGACACTAACCTAGATATAAATAGAAAAGCATCGCCAAGAAAATATTCAGAAACAAATATACCAGCCTAAATTTCTCTCTACCCTATTTCTGATTTTCTTTTCTAGTTATCAATCAATCTGTCACTCATTTTGGCAACCAACTATATACTTTATGGCCACACTCATTTTTCATCCCAACCTAAGCGCTTTTTTTTTTCTCTTCCGACTACAAAGATCTCCCAAGATCAATAATTTTATTAAAATTCATTTAAACTTAAAGGGTTTGGTTGACTAATCTCCAAAATAGATTTTACACAATGCAATCTAAACTCTGAAAATGTCAAAAGGGCATTTTCATACAAGAATAAAGCATAGAAGACTATATGGGTCTCTCTCCGTAGCTTTACCCTTTACTCTTCAACAACACAGCAAGCTTCTTCATACACACACCCCTGTGAATCAGACTGTCATTTCTTGGGTACTATGTAGACACACCAAAGAGTTTGGAAATCACAAATCACGGAAAGGTTAATTTGGTCAATTTTTAATTTTTGCATGGATGGTGTGGAATGAGTTTTGTTGTAAAGAAGATGAGGAAAAGGGCTTGAAAAAGGTTGGGCAACCAGTGGTAGGGCCAGTATTGGAGGCTTCTCTGTCTCCTTCTCATTTGGGCTTTCATTTTTCATGATTATCTATGCAATAGGTTTTGTTTGTTTTTGGAGGTTTTGGCCTCAAATGCATCCTGTTTTGGTTATAAATTAATGCAGCCGAATTGGTATAACATTTCCTTGGAACTAAAATACATTTTGTAAGATTTCTGCTACAGTATGAAATTTATAGGGATTAAAATGTGATGTATTCAGAATTTGTTCCTGGGAATGGTGGATTTTCATTGTTTCTTTGCTGGGTTTTTGTTTACGTTTTCATAAATGCAATGTCTGTGATCACATCAGATTTTGGCTTAGTTGTACTGGGTATAGGTTTCCTTGAGATGGCCAGGGAATTTTGTTCTTTATATGCACTTGCATTTAACTTTTTAGCTTCCTAGAAATGCATATGCCTAGATTCCTTCCTTACTTATGTCAAACCTCCATTTCAGCTACACTCCATTTGATGGGGCTTGCTACGCTAGCCTAGCTAGAAAAGGCTCCATTTCTTAACTAACTTCTAGAGCAGGCTACAATTGCAATCCCCTTAAAGAAGAGTTCCGAGGTTGAAAGATCAAATTAGGGGTGTAAGGACTGTTGAAATTACCATATGAATGGCCATTTAGGTAAAGAAACAAACTTTGAATACTACCAAACCTTAATAGGAACCAAGGTTTCTGATTTAAGCTTTTCTAATGTTCATCCATAACTCTGAGTCAGAATAACTCGTCTAAAAAACCTCAAAAAGTTTCATTTAATTTCATCACATACCCAAAAAGTTTTATTTGGCAAGTTCAATAAAAAAAAGTTACCAAATTGCAAGAATCTGTATATTTCAATCGTTGTGTAAGATTCACATATCGCATGAGGTGATTAGCAATATGAACAGAATCAATTTCAAGAGGAACGCGAATTGGGAAACCTAAAAGCATGGATTATAAGAAGAGAAAGAGAACTTACGAGATCTTTGAAAACGAGGAACGCGATCACGAAGAAAAGAACAAACAGGATTTCAAACTCGGCGAATTTGACGAACCCAAAGACCGACTGAACCCACCGAGTCAATGCGGACTCGTTCGAGTTCCTGCTCCCGACTCGCTTCCCCATCTCTCTTGCTCCTCCTCTGTCTCTTCTGCCTTCGTTTACCTTGGTAGTTGGTAGTAAAGGGGTTCGGGTCCGACAGCTCGAAGATGGCATTGATTTTCACGGGTTTCGTTTTATTTTAGAGAAATAAAAAATAAAAAAATAAAACAGAAAAGTCAGATTCTGAACAAAAAGATAAAAAATAATGGTCAATTTGTAATTTTAGCTAAATTGTGAAATGGTAAATGAGATTTCTTGATCTACACACATTGATAAAATGTCAATTTTACTACTCAAACTTTTGTCAGTTTAGGTCATTTCTAAACGGACCGTGATTTTGGTTTCATAATTTTTTCCTTTCCTCCTATTATCTCTTTTTTTATCCTTGCAAAATTTTATTAAGAACTTGATAGCATGAAGAATAACTTGTATGAAAATTAGGTTGTTGTCTTAAAAAAAAAAAGTGATTTATTGAGCCGACGTGATTGGTAACGACAACACCTTTATTTCACCAAATAAAATTATTTTTGCTCACCACCTTTTATAAAGCACATTGCACAATGCAATTGGCCTATAATGCACCCACAAACTAAAAGTTTTTCAAGCTTTATGGAAAGTGTTTTTGACACTACATATATAACACGCAATCTTATGAAGTGAAAATATATTATCGATATTTTGAATTTTTATACAAGAGTGCATTGAAGCCTTTCGGGAGTACAAATAATGTTGCTCTAATTTTATTATTCTTTTTTTATTTATAGGAAAACTAAAAACCTTACAACCGGAAACCACAATGGCACGCAAGCCACTGAATTGATTGCCATTAATTTATGATAATAATAATAATATTGTTTTCATTTTGGAAAAATTATACAATACTAGTCATTTTACTTCTCTTGATGGAAAAAATATAATAGGACAAAATAATGATGTAAATATTTGGACTTGGAATGGCAAACAAATAGGGATTTGTGTGACTCGTATTCTCGTGATCGACAAAATACACGAAATCCCTAAATTGAAACACGGAAGACGGGAAGACAGAGAGAGAGATAGAGAGAGAGGAAGAAAGAAAGAGAGGCTCACGGTTCTCCTTGTTCCTACATTGTAATCCATGGCGTCAACGAGTCAACGACCCCTCCTCATCGCCCTCCTAACCCTCTCGATCTTCGCGATCTCAGCCACCGCAACAAGGCCCTGCAAGACCCTCTTCATTTCCTCATACTCCTTCTCCCTCCGCCGCCTCCCATCCTCCTCTTCCTCCTCCGGCTTCGTCACCGTCGTCACCGAGATCAGCCGACTCCGCCCCGTCCGCTACGACGACCTTGTCATCCAACCCCACGAAGAAGACGATAAGC